AGCGCGCCGCCCCCTGCTGGCCGCCGGGCGAACGCCGCTCAGGTGAGAGTGGGGTGTCGCACCTGCCGCACCCCGCGCTGTCCTCACCACCCGGGCAGAGGATGGGCGAAAGTGCAATGGAGACACGAGAAGAGGGAAGAAAAGAAACTGGGAAGTTAGGAAGAGAGAGGAAGCTATCTGCGGCTGGACGGCCTTTTACTTTTTCTCTCCGTTTTATATGTTTGTACTGAACGTTTTCATCATTAAAGCCTAACTATGTCAGAATTCTCTACTAAAGTGATTTTTTTTTTTGATGCACACCAGAGAGCATCCTCACCAAAATGAACTCCCTGCGCAGAAATCTTGATGAGTCAAGTGGTGTTCTCCTGCGGGAACGTTGGTTTCACGCAGAGGCTCCTTCTAGACCCCAGGCTCCTCCTCTCAAAAGACAAAAATCTCAGGTTCCCTTGGCTCCTCTCTCCCATACTCTGGGCCCCTACGTCCTCCCTACGTCATTTGTTCATGTGTCCTCTGCCCTTGCTTTTGGCTGCCCACAGCAGCTTCATGGTGCTTATCCCAACTTGCAAAGAAACTTGGGCATTCTAACCCCAAAGGGAAAAGAATTGGCAGAAGTGGAGGGGCGCGGTGGGGGGGGGGGCGCACGGGACGGGACGGGACCGAGGTCCAGGACGCTGCCTTGGGCTTCGAACCATAGCAACTGACCTTGAGTGTGGCTTTCAGCCAGAGGATACACATACACCAGCTGGGGCGGTTGTTCTGGAACCCTCTCCCCAGAAGGTGACACCCAGATGAATGTCTACAACAATTCTACATCTGGATTGAAACATCTGCATTACCCGTCAGGCATTCCATAATGAAATTCGCCAGGGCATCTTTGATTTCAAAGAAGGGTCACCCCCATCCCCGCCCCGTCCAGAAATTCAATTTGTTAGTGAGAGATGAGACCTGATTTTTTTTTTCTTTTTTTAGGTTTTTTGAGACAAGGTTTCTCTGTGTAGTTTCTCGTGCCTGTCCTGGATCTTGCTCTGTAGACCAGGCTAGCCTCGAACTCACAGAGATCCACCTGGCTCTGCCTCCCGAGTGCTGGGATTAAAGGTATGTGCCACCCAAGCCCGGCTTGGGACCTGAATTTTTAAGTTCCTCCAAAACTGCTTCTTTCGGGGCTGACAGATGAAGTGCCCAAAGCTCGAGCAGCTGTCAATGGCTCTGAGATGGAACGATGCATCAGCAGCATGAACAGACAAAAACGGCTCAGATAGCCTTCTCTCATCAAATCTTCTACCCTGTCTCGAAAAAAAA